GCATACATTTAATAAAAAAAATTCGCGTAAATAGCTATTGTAAACATACAATAATAAAACTAATCCCATTGATTATTAGGTCTTACCATTATAATAAATTCTTTAAATAATTTTACGGTCTCTGTACGTATCTCTACATTTGTTTTATATTATATTTTACCAATAATGAATCATAATAGTTTCATCACAATGCTGATGAAATTTCGAAATATTTTGTACAATCCATTTATAAAAGCTCTATACAAGTGTTCGATTACTTTCGTATTTCGTATTTTGTAAGCAACTGTATTTTCAAACGCAAAATTAAATAATACTATTATCTAACTGATTACAAATTGTGTAAATTTTTTTAAATTCTTATACTTGTTTTCATTTTTATTTAAATAACATATTACATACAACGTGATTGTTGTAATTTGATAACGCTTTGTTTTGCACAAAATTTTATGTAAAATTTATAACTTTAACTACGTAAGCAGAATATTAATAGCAGCCACACAGAAGTTTTATAGTATATAAACATTGGTTAAATGTTGATACTCGATAATCGATTATTAATATACATAACATGTAGAGATATCGTGTCGCAGAATAATGCTCTATATCACGCAGACGTCGTACAAGTGTTAACGGAATAACAGGGCAACGACAATAAAATTTAATATATGTAATCAATCCATCATATCATAGTAAATTAATTTCCACTACTTCCTATCTAATAGTAGCATTCCAAAAATAAATGGAACAAAAACACTAGTTATTTTTGAAAATATTAGAAGACACCTACTTAAATTAAATTAGAATTTTTTTCAAATGATTGCAAGAAAGTGAAAATTTTTAAAAATCTATAGAAACGGATAATACGACTTCATTTTTAATTATCCTATTTTATTATAGTATACAAAAATTATATTATTTAGATATACGTATTGATTCCTACATTACTGATAATTGCTGAAAAATTTGTATATTTGTAAATTCAATATATGTATTGCAAAATCAACTTTATATTTCAATTTTACAATTGTGAAAATTCTGTTTTTATAACCGAAATAGATTAAAAAAATGACGTAAGCGTTATTTTTTCACTCGTATCTCTACATATTACTTCATTCATAAAATCATATTCATTGACACGTCTGGTTTATTTTTTCTTGCAATTTTTTACACTGCAATGTATAAAAATACCATTGAAAAAATGACGTTCGATACTTCACTGCGGTATGAACAAATGCAAGCTATATTGAGAATACAGTGTATAATGAGAATACAGTAATATAATGTATTTACAATTAGTTTTCACATTGTCCTGACATTGATCCATTAATATTCTGTAATACTGACTCAATAATAAACGTATTCGTAGTATAAAAGAGATGGTGATTTATGTGGATAGTAGTAATATTATACTGTCCACAGTATATCTACGTAATATGGCTGCGTCAAATACATGTACATAAAATCAAGTAACTGGTTTGCTCCTGATTTCATAATATTGCATATTATGTGTCAAGTGAATTTTTTTACATGTAAATTTATTACATTTTTCAAATAATGTAACATTGATTTCAAATACAAAATTATGCAACGCTAGCTGGGCATTCATACTATATTTCGTCATAGATATTTTATATTTTGCTGGATTCTATCTTATGTTTTTGAATACGATTCTAATTATAGCAAAAAATGATTTAGTTGGGAAAAAAGAGAAAGAAGAGAGTGAAATTAATTTAATTCCAAATAGCATTAAAAATATTTTACTTACTAGACGTGTTCAAATCAGAATCTTATCTGTGGTTCATCGTTTGAAATACGGGGAGAACGACCATTCTCCGATATAACTATCGATGCATATTCAGAATTTTGATAAAAAAGAAAAAAACAAATGGGAACGAAAAGTCGTAAATTGGTGATATTATCCTTAAAAAAGATAGGTAAAAAAAATATACTTAAAATACGATGCGTAAATTTTTTTTCAAGTAAATTTTCTTAAATTTTATAAATAAAAGAATTTTGTAGAATATGCAAAACATCTACATTGGCTACAAAAAAATCAATAAATATAATCAAAATTAAAAATATCGAATATGTTACTAAAAAATAAAAGTTACTTTTATATATATAAATATAAAAATTATTGATAAATTTCTATCAGATATGTAAACATAGATGGCAGTATTGAAAAATTACTAATACTGTTTTATAAAAATTTCAGCTTCAACAAATAACAACTGTTCGAAATACATAAACATTAATAAATCTAAAGTGTATATATCTTCAAGAAAAAAAAGTCGTGACTCGATAACATGTTGTGAGTATAAGCAAAAGAGATGAATAAGTATAATATCACGTATACATCCTCACAGCTACATGTAAGCTCATATTACGCACACACAACAAGTACAGTGACGTTTGCGTATTGCAAACATGTCTTCCGTACATTGATTATATTCCCACCATTTTATATATAATCAACTTCACTCATTTCAATATAATGAACTAGTGTCTCACTTATGTTAAACCGTAGATAAAAAAAATAATGGTGACAAATTTTAGAAATCGGATGAAAATATTATGTTCTAAATGCAATATCAGTCGAGGAAAAAAAATAAAAAAGTTATTTTGGCGCCTTGTACAGAATGTACGTTTCATTGATGATATGGCGCACACAGTAAAAACAGACGCTTAAAAGACGCTTACGTGTAAACATACTACGTGCCATAATGCGCATTTTTGTCCTTTTCCGATACTTATACAATTCGATTGCCACAGACAACGTTAAATTTATAGTTAATTGCACTATATTCGTATTATTACGTAAAAATTAATCAAACAGAACGTACATATGCCACGGTCGATTCTGTGCATATAACTTTAATAGGATATAGAATTGGATGCGAGCGGGAAATCAAAAGCATTGCAATATATCGTAAACTACGTCATGGATAACAAACTAATGACTAAAAGTCCCTCTCATTTTTTACAAATTTTTCAATTACGTTACGCTTATTGCCATAATTAAAAGTTTAAACGGGAAATTATTCGTTAAAAGTTAGTATGACGACTACTATAGTGCAAGATCCCATATATGCCAATGCATGGCGCAAGTAGCCAAACAGAGACTGATCATACGCGGGCTATAGCCTTGACGGATGATTTATGATGAAACACTCGTGACAGAGGCCACGCCGACATTTTACATTATGAATGTAGCATATTTACATTTTCACGACAGTTAAAACTGTCACACAACGTTTCCTCGCGTATCTATACGTAATGATAACAAAATACACGAGAACCTTTTTGCTAAACACATCTCTGGGCAGCCATTTGCTATGACGGCTGTGTAGAAATAAAAGGTATATGCACAGTACGGAGCACAGTAGCACTTCACTAAATAATAGCCCGTGTTACGCTTATCATACAATGATGATAGCCTATTAATCAATTGTTGGTCACCAAAATCTGTCAACACTCGGAAAGAAAAATATTTAGATTTTTCTTACCTGGACGGTCCTCTACAGCTAAAAGGATTCTCAGCTTCGAATATCGCGACCCCACGCCACTTGTGCGGCATATGAAAGTACATGGGGAAAATCTGTATTACCATTGGCTTATTTCAGATAAGCCGCAAAAAGTAAGCCAATCAGCATCAACCTTTTATGTTTTGAAGCGTTTCTTTTTACCCCCCCAATAAAATGTCTGCTGGTGAAAAGGGCGGGAAAAATCATGCGTGGAAAACCATCTATACGATATCATTCCCTTTACAGTAAACAATATTTTGTTTTTATCCTCCTGAACAAATGCACTTTTAGCAACGAAATGTACTTATTACGTTTAACTAGAACAATAATGCCTTTTGATGTATAAATGATTTAAATCGTTAAGGTTAGAATTTATTATTATTGTAGATGGCGCTAGATTACGAAAGCTAAATGTTAAGGCGCAAATTACAGTACCGCCAACGTGATGCATGGAGTATCATACATGTGTGCATATATTATATACACAATATATCTTTCTAGCTAAACGAATTATTTTCTACTATACAGATTGATATGTTTGAACAGTTAAAACTTAATAATACAATTTTCTTCTAAATATTTTAAGATACATATGTTTAATGATATTTTATATAAAAGAATAATTGTATATTTTATTAGTAAAAAACTATTTATGAAAAGTTTTGTTAAGTTTGTAATGTTTATCATGAAATATAATATTGTTACCTGTTTTTGTTATACACAGAACACTTGTCTAAGGGAAAGATTAAATTAGATATTATTATAATTAGATTTTAGAAATATAAATGTACATGGTATGTGAAGTTATGAATTTAAAATATAAGATTACTCAGATATGAAACAAATTTATATTGCATGTAAAGATATACATCTAATATCTTTTCTATAACAATTATAATTTTCAAGAAATGTGTTAATTTATTCGTAAAACATGTAGATATGTTTTATATTCTGAACATATTAATCTTTTTCAGTTATTATATATGTAACTAATATATTAGTTTTATTGATATGTATATATGTGACAAGCATACAACATATGAATAAAAAGAAACTAGAGTTTATCAAATCAAACTTTTTTTTTACTGATATCCTTTCTCGTTACACATTTTTATCTTTTCTACTCTGTAAACATACTACGTATTCAAAGTATAATGTTCAAAAATTTTACATTAGGTAATATCTTTGATTTGATAATAAATTAAATAAAAAACCAAACGAATCCAAGAAAGGAAAGAGAAATAACATTAACGACATAAAATATAAAGTATAATTATATTCACACGCATAATTGTGTATAATTAACTACTTTAATGAATTTTAAATGTCATTTCGCCAGCAATGAAATTTAAAGTTAGAATTCAAAGTTGGTGGTACTGACTTTATTGGCTAGGAATTTCTTAAAGTTAAACCATGTCGTTCATGTATATATACAAGCATTTATATATTTGCATTATATATACACATATATATACATATGTATATCTTCACGCAGTATTGTCCGAGTCAATGTGAATGTGTAAATAATAAAACGCGGTGAAATGCTGTAGCCGTAGTACGGAATTTTAAAGAAATCTGTATAAACATAGACGTATTGTGAGAAAATAATAGTGTTAAATGTTTGTCTTGTAGCGGGATTTTTGGGAACGTTTTACAACAACAGATACGTATAAATAACTTATACGTTAAAATTGTTTGAGTGAAAGAAAGTGAAACATTATACGACATCGTTTAACATTGAGGTCTTTGTAATACGCAAACTCTGCTATTTAAATTATCGATTTGTGTACTTGAATCTTTGCATCGAATAAAAGTCTTTCTGTGCCGGCAAGGAACGAATTACATTTGGAAAATTATCAATAACAAATGAAATTCAATGGGAAATTATGAGTGTGGAAAGTAAACATCGCCGAGTGTATTTTACTTTCGGACACGCCGTTTTTTGACGCAAAACACATCGAGAGGTTTCGAGGTTGTTAAAGTTCTAAATACTCTTCATACCGATTTAGTTGATGTTAAGAATAAAAAAAAAAAATGAATGGATTCAGTACCGGTGAGGAAGATTCCAGAGGAGCTGCTGATCAAATCTGTTGCCTTGTAGATGAGGGTGAACGATGCACTCGACCAGCTGGCAACGCTTCTTATAGCAAACGTATTCAAAAAACTGTAACTCAACGACGATTAAAGCTTAATCTTGATCAAGTGGTAAGATTAACGACAAAAACTACACACACATACTTGTCACTTTCTTTCAACCATAAATTGAATTTTATTTTTTTTCTATTATTTCAAATGCAATATGTCATTTATGAAAAAGTAAATTATTAATCTTATAGAGTCGCATAATTTTAATATTTACAGTATGTAAATTTTCAAAATCCTTTATGAATGACTTCTTTTAGGTCATGATTGATGTCTATTTATTAAATATTGAGAATACATTTATGTAATTAAATGTTTCATCTACACCTACATTATTAATAACTGTTTTAAATGTTGATGATTTATGTAATTGAAAGAGCTAATAATTTATAATATTTTAAGACTAATATTTTTTATAAATATCTTATATTTATGCCTTAGATATAACTATCTTGTATTTAAAAAAAAAAATTAAATATCAAAATCTAATATATGTGATAATAATGTCATCATGTATCTTATCTATCATTAGGCACGTCATATATACATTTGTGATTACCATAAGCAAGTGATACAATGTGCAAGATCTAAACAACAGCAACGTAGACGTAAGGATTCTGAAGAAGATTCGGGTGAAACGGATAATGATCTCCCTGAAGTTGACCTTTTTCAATTACAAGTGGGTACACTTAGGCGGTATAAAAGACATTATAAAGTTTCCACGCGTCCAGGTTTAAATAAAGCTCAATTAGCTGATGTAAGTATTAAATAATATATTTACAAAAATATAAAATATTGAGTAGATATAAATTTTAAGTATAAATCCTTATATTTTTTCAGACTCTTATGAAGCATTTTAAGACTATCCCTGTAATTGAAAAAGAGGCATTAAGCTTTTTTATTTACACAGTAAAAACTAATGCCAATAAATTGGATCAAAAGAACGGTTTAAGTAATGATACCACATAACCTAGGCCTCATTTAATAAGTTCTGTTATTATACTAATATTTTATTAGTGAGATCAAAAATATATGTATGAATTTTTACTTGTTAATAGGCATAGGTATTTTATAAGAACTATGTATAAAATATATTAAAAAATATATGTACAACAATACTTAATAAAATATTGTTTATTTACTCCATACATATTTATTTTCTTTATTATATAAATAAGATAATTAAACCTTTATATAATTTATTATTCATTTACTGCATTAAATCTTTTGTCTCTAATATTTCGATGTTTTCTTCTTCACTATCTCCATTCAATTCTAGAATGATTAACAGTTATTATTATCATTTCAAGAAAATGTTATAAGTAATTATATAGAATACCTATATTTTCTATAGTTTTATTTTCTTTCTTCTTTATTACAGTAGTAATTTCAACGTCGCTGATTTCTTCTTCTGAGGATTCTGACATATTCCATGTATTAGGACCGCCTTCGCCAAATGATATATTCTGAAGTAGTTTTAAAATATTTATTACATTATCCGTAGCAAATATTAATTAGACCTTTTAATGATATAATTAATAAATAGATATTTACTGTATTTGGTATTAATTCAGCAGAACCTATTCCAGGTTTTATAATTGTGCAATTTTCAGTTTCTTCCTCTTTTTTCTCCATATCAACTTAAAAATATAATCAGATATAAATTTATGTAAGACTGTACTAAAATTGCATTATTATAATCAAAGAACTATTTACCATCAGATTCTATGTTTTCTATCTCACTCCATTTACGTAGTTTAATACTGATACATTCACTGTTCATTGTAGTCAATTTTTTTGTCATTATACACTCTTTAAAACGATTTGTGTTACGATCATCTTTCTTATACCTAAACATGTATTTGCAAAATGAAAATAATTCAATTAAAATTAAAAAATAAAAATTTTACCTTGCTTCCACATCATAATTTACTGCTTCTTTTATTTGTTGCACCAATTGAACAGCATAATTTGTTGCATAATTAGAAACAGCTGATATCACATCTTCTACAGTCATAGTTTTTGTCAAATAATTAAAATGTAAACTACAAAGTTCTCTATATGAATTAATGCCAAGAGTAAGTTGAGCTACTCCAACTCTTTCTTCTAAGTATGTTGGATCCATAACTGTACTTCCACTAAAAAAATATAATTTTATAAAAAAATGCTGTTTGTCAGCATGCATTACTAAATGCAATTACATAATTTAAATAATGAACCTTTCAAATGTTATAAAAGAGACACACACTGGATAATGATACAACGTTAAAGGTAGAGGATCCTTTTCAGAAAATGGATGAACTATAATATCTTCACCATTTGAAGTTACATCAGGCCTATGAAAATGAGAGAGAGCAGCTAATGTTGCAATAGAAGCACAATCAATTAAGTTCCCATCATGATTAATGACATTGATATCGACCCTTAAATTCCATACCTGTATTAATTATTAAAATAAAAAAAAAATATGCAATGTCATTTTAATATAACAGTCAGGTAAGTATTAATCAAGTTTCAACATTAATAAAACATTCTTTACCTTTTTATCAGCTATAATACATAAGGATTCTAGATCTATACATTTGGAATCTTGATAACATTTTTCAAGTTGTCTGCTGATCAATATTGAAATCTCAGATTGTCTACCGCTATCAAAATGTTGTGCAGCCATTGGATTAAGTTCAACATTTATATGCAACATTCCTTCATTAGGACGAGAAGTTTTAGGTTGTTGAATATCACATGTTACTTGTGCTACAACTCTATAATAAGATTATTATACAATATATAATTGTTAGCTACATTTTTAAGTAAATATCACATTATTCAGCTTGAGGTTACCTAGTTTGACCAAGTAGAACCATACAACTACCCCAATTGGATGCAAAGTAAATTTTAACATTTCTTGCTTCTAATAAACTTCGGCCATCTAATCTCTAAAACATATTTTAACAAATCATCTTTCATATCTGTACAATTTATAAAACAGAATATTTAGAAATGCGTACCGTGCCTTGTTCCACTGATTTATTTACAAAATTCTTTTCACAATTTGTTAGCAAAACTTCTTTCATGATTCTAAATATTTATTTACAAACAACGAACACGTGTAAAACACAGCAAAAATATAACCTTTAATTCGAATAATATCATACGAATTTTATTATTTTATTGTTTAAATGCACAATATGCTTGTAATAATGTACATGTAATATAAATTAATGTCTCTCTCATTAATAAGTTGTAAATAAATATTTTTAAATACTACTTTAAATTACTTCTTTTTTTACTATCGATACGTAATACGAAAACGTCAATTCATCAATCGATATTTTATTTTTGAGATGATCACTTTAGAATTACGATTCTAACAGGATAATTTTAACTTTCATATTTTATTATTAAATCATGCCAGAGATTAGAAAATAACTATTACAAAAAAGCTAGTAATTTTCCTAAATTTTTTTAAATATCAAGTCCATTTACATGTGACATGTTTTTCCTTGGTTAAAAAAGAGAATTTTTTTCTCTAACTCTAACGTAATTCTAAAAGTAAAAGTATCTATTGTAAATGCAATTCAAAAATTATATGTAACTACCAACGTTTTTTATACTTTGTATTTTATGCAGTTTGTGCATATTTTCGGTAGATGAAAGTATAATTGACATTGAAGCACTTTCTATCTATTTACATAAGATACAAAAAAAAAAAGATATATTAAATTGCCGCTATAACGTGTAATTTCATTCCAATCAATATTTTGTCAGGAAATATATACATATATCGATGGACATTTGATACCATCTGTCCGACATATGAACTTCCCTTAATATCTTCTTTATTGAAGAATCGTTCATCTCTCGATTCTTTCGATATTTTAACGTAGCTTGGAACACAGAGGTCGAAACGAAGGAACAGAAACGCTTGCTACCAAAACGACAGGTTGAAAAATTATTGCAAAATAAATGATATTAAAAAGTTGATGTATTAGTGCAGGTGCTCGCGCGTATTATATATGTGTATACACAGCGCACACAAGTGGCCATGCCCGGTCATATCTGCTTCAATCAGCTTGGTTTATACGATCTGTTTTTTAACGTTCACTCTTGCCGTCGATAATCCGAGCCCTATGGTTCAATAACTAGCGAATATCGTGTCTGTGGGTATCCTGAGTTATCGAGGTGCTTCAATATCGAGTGTTTATACGAAAGTTGCAATTTAAATAACGTATAACGCTTCATACATAACGTTGATCGCGGTACGCGTGATACGTATAGATAGGGGCCGATCTGTGGAATGGATGCTTAATAAGTTGTGCCTCGCGTTGCTTATAATTACCCTCCCTAAATCTTTTTGCCACATTTGCTTACAGCTATCATTGGTAAGTCTCGATTACCGTCTACGTCGTGCATATAATTTCATTCCGTTCGCTGCTCTCCCGTTCCTTCGAATCGTAATTTACATCGCTAGATGTGGCTTTTATATCGTGTGTTGTTGTAGCAGCGATTGTCTTTGTACGTCATCTGTAGGTAAATATCTGTTACATTATGACTCTTTCATCGCTGTTGCGTCTTTAACGCGTTTGAACATCTCGTTATTTTTCCGCTTTTTCTCTCGTCCAGCCATATTTTCTTTTGTGATTTTTTACATTTTTCGATGTTTCATCTCTCCGAGATGAATGTGCCCGATGTATGCGTGTCTTTTTTTCAGTTTACATTTATAACGAAAGAGTTCGATGTTTATACAATTTCGCAGGATTTTTTTGTTCTAATTCCTCTAATTCCTCGTACGAATATGGACTTATGTAAAAGTGTCGTTTAATCGCGTGAAATGTACATTTTAAATAATAGCTTGTAATATATGTAAAGACTTAAACGCGCCCTCTTCACGCAATAAAAATTCCTTCAAATTGCAAGATTCGATGTAAATTATGTGTAACATGTAATCGATGTAACAAATTAGAATCGAATTTTCTTTTTATCAGTAATTAATTTATTAGAAAGTAAAAGAAGATATTGTATATTATATTTATTACATAATTTATAGTATTTACATAATTATAGTACTTTAATAATTTTGTATATTCTCGTTTCAACAGAACTTCAAACAAGTATCTATGATGCTGTTTTATTAAGGTCATGACAACAATTTATGTGCTTTCTAAAAGTTATATTTGTGGTAAGTAATATATGTACAAAATATTTGAATGTTTACATTCTGCGTAATATAAAAAAAGGTTGATATAAGAATCAGATTTTCTTTGTTATAAACCGTAATTATAGTTGATTTGTGAAATTTTGTATTTTAATATATCTCTTTATTAAATTTCATTTTTATATATAAAACAACTAAAAAATAACAAATCAATGATACTATTTAGATTATTGTGGTTTTGGATAAATCATTCATTCCTTGGTCAAGTTGTGAAGTATTTCATATAATTATGGAATCAAATGACAGAAAAAATGTTTATCTTACGAAAACGGGTGATAATTCTTTGAATTCTGGAATGAGAGATACAATGATTGTTGGCCAAGCAAATATGGCACCAGGTAATGCTTTAAAATTTTTATTAAAAATTTACTCATATAAAATATAAATTTGATTAAAAATTTCAAAGTTGTTAGAAATAATTCAGGGGTATACAATTAAAATATGGACTTTATGTACCATTTACAATCATTTTCTTTGATGTCTTAGAATGTGGTGAACCTGTAATGAAACCTGGAAGTGTGTCCAGTGTTTCAAACAATCAAGCAAAGTGGTCAAATACTCAAAGTAAGAATTTTATAATCAATGCAGTTCCCGTGAAGAACGAGGTAAGTTCATTTAATGATTCATGCAATAAGAATACATATTAATGAAATCACATTGTATTTTTTAGATTGTTCATCTTGAAGATGGTGCACATTGCAATAAAAAAATGTATTATTATGATAGACATTACACAGGCCACGAAGAAACAGAGAGACCAACACGTAGAGGAACCAAACGATACAGAGACAAAGATGCACCTAAAAGAGCATTGTATGTATTTGTAATGTATTGTAATGCTTGATACCTGATGTTTTGTTTATAAATGTCATTTTAGGTCTGCCTTTTTCTATTTTTGTCAAGAATTACGTGGAAAAATGAGAGAATTGCATCCAGAAATGGGAGTCGGTGATATCGCTAAAGAGCTGGGCAAATTATGGATGAGTACAGATCTTCAAACTAAATCAAAATATATGGCAATAGCAGAAGAAGATAGAGCCAGATATGAAAGAGTAAATAACTCTCTTATTCAATATTTTTAATTATTTTTAAAATAAAATTTTTATAAATATCTTAATTTTTAATTATTTAGGAAATTATTGCATATAATAAAAGAGTAAAAAACTATGATCCAGAAGAAGTTGGACCTGTATAAGTTTTTGAATCTATTAAGAAAGAAGGGACAGTGTACTTTGCCCTACGTCAAGCACTCGCCAATTAAAAAAATATAACAATTTTATTAATAGTTTAGTATTGTCAATCGTTGTATATATTATGTACACTGTTGACATTAACGAATCTGAAGAAAAATTAAATGCTATAAAATTTGGTTATAATTCTTGAAAATAATATTTGTAAACAACTGTTTCACGTTTATTTGATAATTGGGTATTATTTTTTGTGACTAAGGTGTGCTAATATATTTACAAACGATACCTAATACAAGTAATAATATTAATATCAATAGTAATAATACCGAAAATAATAATTACAACTGATAATAATAATAATATTACTATTATTATTATTATTACTAAATGATAATGATAATCTGTATTACTATTAAATATGTTATACACAATTGAAGCACAATAACAAGTAAAAGTCAAGCAGAGTGAGCTTTGTACAGTGCACTTTTCTTGTCTAATTATGCATTATTCATGTTTATAATGATAAAATTAGATATCAGGGACTATTTATATCTAAAACCCTGTATAGAACATATATTCCATGTATTTTGTTCTTTTTCCAATAAAGATAAAATCATTTAAAGCATTTATAATCCTTATATTCTTGTTTTATTTCTATTTAAGTAAATAACTAAATTTTTATTTAAGAGGTAATATTTTATTATTATTATATTTTATTATATTAACATAACTTTAATTAAAAATTTATTTCATCAATTTATTTCACTTTTTTTGTGTAAAATTACACACCAATTCCCTTGATCATAATACACTTCTTTTATTACAAGATCTGGTACTTCTGAACATAATTGTGATAATTCATTTTCTTCAAACACGTGATAATATCTAAGATAGTTGCCTCCTCCCTTTCTTTTCCATGGAACAAGCATATCCTTGCATGTAAATTTTGTACGGTTTTCGTGTACAGGTAATGTGACACCATATTCTGTTAACTTTTGTGTACATGAACTATTATTTTTCTGTTTAGTTAAATTATATCGTAAATAAGCTGTCTGCATAGAATCCTTTTCTTGTTCTTTTGCCCATACATAAATTAAACATTTTCCATTTGGTCTAAGAACTCTTGCTAATTCAGAAATTGCTTGTTTTCTTCGTTCACGGGTCGAGAGATGATGAATTACAGCTATACATATTATTGCATCCAAAATATTATCCTTATAGGGTAAGTGTAAACAGTCAGATAGGGATACTTCAAAACCTTTATTCCGACATATTTTCATTAAATTGTAACTTCTGTCACACCCAACCTATATCGTTAAAGGTTTACCTTTATGACAGATTTATTATTCCCAAAAATATAAAGATGAGTGCATACCTTAAATATATGTGTATTTTGATAAAGGTATTTGCCATTTCCACATCCTACATCTAATAAGATATCACCTATATTTAAAGTTTGAAGGAATTTTGTTACATTGGGCCATTGTTTATGCCTTGTTTCATCAAAATGATTTGAGATTTTATCGTAAACCTGCATAAAAATAAGTTACAAACTTATAACTTATTGAATACAAATGAAATCATGTATAAAAAGAATTTCATAATACATACATCGTGTACATAAGAATTTTCTATTCCTAGAGCTATTTTACTATCAATAAGAGTAGTAGCATTATTTTGTTTCGTATCACAATATTCTGAAAAGTTGCAACAACAATCACCCTTGTGTACTTTTCGAAATGTAAAGGATACTCTTGTTCCCCGTGGTTGGGTAGTCACTCCACTTGAAGTTTTTACTATGTCATTATGTCTGGGGCAAATTCCATGTGACCATGCATAACGAGCTTCTCCTGACATAATTAATAATGAACGTGGAGGTAAAAGAACAGCAACTTTTTCATTTTCTCGTTTAAAATCCATTATACATGGGGACCCCAATGATAATGATAATATGCTATCTTCAAATGCACTATGTGTATCAATATGTGGAGGAATACCTTACAATTTAAAAGTATTGCTATTATATTTATAAAAAAAAGATTAATTATTAAAGAATAATTTTTGTGAAACATACCTTGACCAGGTAAATAATGATTAATCGTTAATTGATCATATTCATATGGAACATCATGATATTTTTTGAATAGTGTTTTTAAAAATTGATAATTTTTAGGTATAGGTGTAACAGGTTTATCTGGATCTACTCTATTTGAATTGTATTGAAATTCATATCCAAAATGTTTAACTTTCCTATGCTTTAAGTCAGATGATTCTAACATTTAAATGAAAAAGAAATTTACATTGGTTAAATTTATGTAATTTGATAATCTATAACATATTTTTATAAAAGTAAAAAAATTTCTATTACCTTCATTACACCAATTAATTGTGCTTAATAACATATTTTCATCATCTTTTGTTATAAAATTCTCTACTAATTTAAGTCCAGGAGGAAGATTTGAACTCCATTCACAATTTAAGTCAGGAACTAAAACAAAGTTATAATATTCAACATTTTACATGTACATGTGAGTACTTATTTCAATTAGTTAATGTCATAAGAAAATGCAATGTATTTTGTGTAGATTTCAAGATAAATTATATACCTGATTCTGTGAATGTTGCATATAATGGTGTATTTTGTCCATTTATATTAATGTTGCCATGAATTTTATTATGTATATATGTAGCATTTTCTACTGAATAAAATTTAATAAAGCAATACGATTTATTTAGTGGCATTATTAAATCATATTTGTCAACAAATGGATCTATTACATCTTGCAAAGCTTTCCTTTGTAATCCAGTCACTAATCCAGCATTGCAAATCATTACATACTGCAATAAACTGAAGTGAGAAAATGTTATAAATGATTTACATAAACAAATATTAACCTGCGTAGGATTATCACAGCATTTAATATCCATATCTCTAAGAAGCCTATGATATGCTTTCCTTTGTTTGCGATGGCTCTTTTTGCTTAGTTTTTTTTCCATTATTTTCAATTATACCAAAGCATATTGAATTCTATTTCAAAAGTATGTATTTCCTTAAGATGTATATATTTACATTATTAGATATTAATGTACAATATAAATGCTTTCTTTATATCACGTGGAAAAACTTTCAGTAGTTACTGCATATTTTTGATATCTGTGATAGCCTATATACGAAAATTAAAAAAATCAATGTAATACATATGCATCCAGACTTTATTTGATACAATATTGTTTATATACAAAGAATTAAATTTTAAAAATAAAATAATATTTATATATTTACAGGCTAGCCTTTCTTTTAAATATTTCAAATATCGTAAGAGATGCAGCAAAATAATATCTCTTCGTAATTAAATAGACAGCATCGATTTACTTAGTTTATATGTGTATTAAGTACATTTAACTATTTTCCACATTAAATAAATATGTAATAATATAGCTGCAAACTTCCACCTGAAGTGGAACTGTGCAATGCGCAAGAGTATAAAATAATTTTATCGCAAGATATATTTATAAACGTGAAAATAGCTTTAAATAAATCAATAACTATATATATACTATGTTCGAAATGAATAAAAATATAACAAATGGACATATAATTATATATATTATATATTTTTTCCTTTATTAAGGCGTCTGAACATGTATGAAAAACAAGGAAAACAGTAGATATATACATAAAATAAAGTGCGACAAGGATAGTAATAGCGATTAATTACACAATTCCACCGCTACGTGGCGCTAGTATCTCAGTATCCAAATCAATTCAGCAAATTAATTTACCAACTTTTATGTTTGCACCTCTTAAATTAGATTTTTAGCGTTCTTCCTGTATCCCATTTATCCTATAAGATGCATGAATAAAAATTTACAAATTACACTTAATCGATGAAAAAAATGTTCAATGATGGAGAAATTTCTCTTCGGCGAGACGTTTGAATTTTTCCAATTTTCGAGAAGAAAAGTATTCTTACTTTTACACTTGCTGCATGATGTATAAATAAATATCTTTGAACAAAACAAACTTAAGATTGTTAAAGTTGAGAGATTTTATTCTTTAAAATAAAGTTAATCATTCTACAATCTTTTTTCACAAAATTATAACAGTTTAAAGTATCAACAATTTTTCATCTGATGTATGAATATTTTCGTCCTTTTTTAAAGAATTTCTTTAAGAATTCTTCCTTTAAGAATTAAACCAGAATTTTTCATTATTTGTTCCCAACGTTTCGTGTGAAATGCGCACGTATTGAGTTCAAATTAGTTAAAGATCACAGCGCCAACGGTGAAATACGTAACACACTTCCTGCGATTCTCGAAATAATCGATATTTTTCACGATCGATTTTTAAGTGGGAAGCATGGAGGAAAGAAGCACACTTCATCTGTAAAGAAAAAATTATTATCCAGAAGTTCTCAGGTAAAAACTTCAATTAACAGCTATTTACAACACAATCTGTGTTTGTGTTGTCAATTTCTAAATTAAAACTTGTATATTTGGCTTCAATTCATCGAGACTTGCCAGATTACTGAAAAAGTGTATGATCTTTACTCCTAAAGATTTAATCAAATAATTATTACGTATAATTTTCATACAATTAAAGAAATAATAGCATATAAACATTTAAACATACTAAAAGTTATTTATAATTTTATATCAAAATTCAATTTTAATTCTAACCAGTGGAAATGTTGTAACCTTGACTAACTCATTGTTATACATACATACATACATACAAACATACACGTATTTTATTATATGCTTTTACACATACACATTTTATAACATTTATAACATTTATGATGTATTTATAACATTTTCTACTTGTTTGTTGATTCTTTAATTTGATACTGCGTAATTCTAATACTAAATTCGACAATCATTTATTAAGAATATATGTATTTAATAGTTAAAAATAATAATTTTACTGTGTAATATAATAAAATTTTTTATTCCTCAAATAAAGCAAAGCAACGAAGGCCTTGAAACTCGAAATTCAAAACAACACGCATTAATGCTTCATTCCATTTATACTTCATTAATAGTATCATTTAATTAATATGCTTATATTTAACGATTTATTAAACGATTTTCAAATTTGAGAAATAGAAACATGTCTCTCCATTGTACCTGTGTAAATGCATCTGATGCGCACGTGTCTCATGCGCATCTGCCTGATGCGCATGTGTCCGATGCGCATGTATCTTTACGCTGACAACGGTCATCGATGCGATTTTCAAATGTTGCGTCACGTCAGATGCACGCGTTTGAAAACCGGTCGTTTCATACTAAAAACGGAATTCTCCACAAGTGTCAACGTTTCTCGACTTTTCGACTGGATGAAGTATGTCTCTTAACCTCTTGCGCTATAATGACGTGCCACGCACGTTGAGAATATTTGCCAAAATTGCAATAGTTTCTCAGTTTTAAGTATATTGAAATATAACCCAGGCAAAACAAATTATCTATCCAGTGATTTCCGGTAATTTCTATCCAGTGATATACCGATGAATTCGAAATGAAGACGAATTATTGTATACAGTTTGGTCACTCGTTATGGTCCGCGAACCAGTTACTAGCGCAAGAGGTTAGACACGATTAAACATTGCATTCGCAATGGTTCAGGTCTGTAAACATTTAAAAATCGCGCATGGAGAAACATGCATTTCTATTATGCCCGTATAGATGTGCCCGACGTGTATAATCGTCTGCGTCTGATATTTGTAGGAAATCACGTTCTATCCAGCATGCTGCATGGTCTCGCCAACGTGTCTGGACCAAGAACGTTCGTCGCGCGATCATGGTTCACCGTTTCCTCGGCGGATGAAGTGAAAGCCATGATCGAGGCTGGAGTAGAATGTAAAGAAGTCGATGCGATTCGAGAGAGGGAAACCGCTTTGGCGTCCAGTTACTCCAAGGCAAGCTGAAAGGAATGTTGAACGGTGTGCATCGCGACACCAACGAGTTCTCACACTGAGCATCTCTGATCTCAACGTCGCATCATCGGTGAGTAGACCACCCTCTTTTTCCATGATCGAACTGCATACCCGCCGATCACCGCGAATCTAAATTCAGCTTCGGTCAACAACCCTCATTCCGGATACGCGTTTCTTAAACGCGACAATTCGTTACTGGTAGGTAGGTACCTTTATATAATCTTCGATATCGCTATCTTTTTTATTCGCTTATTCTCCCTAGTTTTAGATTGAGATGCATGCAATTCTTGGATTGGTGGAATTTGATGGATTTATTACGGGGAAATTTGGAGGCACGGAGCGCGTGTAAGCAAAAATCTATAAATTATAGCGTTCGTTATGATACAGTCGAAAAGCTCTACGAGGCAAAAATCTTCTTTGTTCTCTTTTGCTGTAGAAATTTCTACAACTCCGAGATATAGACTTCCGTTAACTCGGATTAATTTTTCACATTTTTAGTATGAATCTTACCACCGTAACACGAATTCAAAGAAACGTCTCGCAAAACCAAAGTAAGTTGATCATTTCAATAGAATGAAACGTTTCAATAGAATGAATAATTATGCACACGTATCTTCGTCACGAGAATACTTTATTGTGAAAAATTAGAAGAACAATTCGAGGAGTACTTTTAAACAATAATTGCAGAACTGAAGCAATTGAACTTGAGAAATTGAAGCAAATCTGAGGCCGCGTTTCTTCTTAAAATGTGTCACTTTCATATCTGTTACATACCAGAGAAAGTTCTGTTATCAGCAAGAAATATTCACCGAATCTTTATTTTATTAATGACAGGAATATTTCATCGCAATGTTTTTCATAACAGTAACGTAATAAAAAGCAGATATTAAAAATGGTCTGTAATGCAAAACGAGTGTACAATCATCGATTAAATCGTTTTATATAACGATAGTGATATAACTTACTGTTTAACATCTTATTGTTTAGTTACAAAAGGTTGTAAAGCCTTGTAAAGGAAATTTTTTCTGAATATGTTTGCGTATATTTGTTGTTGCGCATGTAACGTTGCATTTTTAATCAAGTATGTAAAAATCAAGAAAGAGTTGTAAAAGATGTGACAAACAAAAGGAAATTAATGTCTTTACGCTTCATCTTTGCAACGCATTTTCTTTTTTTTATTTTTAAATCGTCATGAATCATTGACGGATGCATTTATGAATATTAATCAATGATTGTATCACTGATATTTCTTAGCATTTCTCCTGATTGTTGTGGATGACATCTACGGATTGCAATATTCTAGAATGGAATTTAGAACGCTCATGCATTTAATATATTTCTCAATAATAGAACGTTTTGGGGAAATCGTCTAAACAAAACGAGAGTGAGCTTCCTCTGACACAAATTGCACGAATCATCAATAACTTTAACCAATTCTCCAAGCAAATTTTGAATAGTTTGAATAGAACAACAGCTCTCACGCGGAATTTTCTTGACAGAATTTCTTCTTTTGACAAAAAGATGATATTTTTCAAAGTCTTTGTAGCAAGTGCGGAAGGTGTAACCGCGACTTGCTTATCTTAGTCTGCGTATCAACCAAGCGTGTTCAACGAAATCTAAGTGAAAGTACATCACAATTCGCGTGAACGCGTGTATGGTTCTGCCAGCACGTGCTTACGTTTCTTATTATAATTGGGGCATCGTTTACGTTGCGTTATGTTATCGTGCTCTATGGCCTCGCGTTATAAAGTGAAACCTAGAGACCCTCGGATTTTGTTGGAATGTTTTTTTTTTTTTTTTTTCCAATTAATATTTCCTTTGTACACCATTCACCGACGAATAAACAAGCAAACGGTGTTTCTTTTTACCTTTCGTTTGCTCCCTCGATAGATGAACCATTCTTATAAACCTTTTTGTCTTGTAAATGTTTGTACAGTGTCATCTTGATATATTTATACATAACATATTTTTCGTTGTTTATTTTTCTAGCGCAATCATAATGAATTATGAATGATATCTCTGAGATACGTAAGTTCCATAATAGTTTCCATAAGTACTTGTAATATTTCAGTTTGAATAAAGTTAGATTCTTGACATTGTGAGAATTGTAAAGATACGTTTCTAGAAAATTTAAAGAGAACGCATGCAATTCTGCTTTTTAAATTATCTTCGCAAAAACACGAATCTGCATGTAAAATGCAGATTCGTGTATCTCTCGTTCCACATTCTAACGTAATACTCTTTAAAAAAAATGATGTCCTGTATTATTTTTATCTAAATTTGACTTGTACCCTCTTGCCTGCTCACCCAGAAATATTTAATCCAATCTAGACTCAAAAGTTACTTTACAAAAGAAAGTACGTCCATTACAGATTTACGAGAAATTCTATCGCGTGTACCGACATATTTGCGCGTGTAACGATACTTCCGAAGGTTCAGAATAGTTTCAATTAGAAATTAATTGTTTCAATTGCGAAAGAAATCATTCTCGTCCAGCTTGCTCCCTCGGCTTCCGTTCGAAGGGATTAACGATCGATCGGTAAGTTGACATTCCACATTCTAACGCCAGTCATCACGTGAGCCGGTTATTACCACGCGGATATTTGTTCGATAGACACACGTGCAACGTTTGACGTCCACTCGTGACCACGATCCATTTACATTTTACAAGGACTGCGTGCGGCACTTTGCGTGCAAACGTTCACTGCTCTCTTTCGCGAGTATTGCACTCTCTCGTCCCACGCGAAAACGCAATTTATATAATAGAATTCTCTGCCACTGGAGACAAGTGTAGGATACGTAGGGTGACATCTAATTCCACTCTTCTAAAAAGAGGGGGCATAGATGCAAGTGTGGGCTTAGAATCGGTGAATTTTGCCTCGAATTTGCATGGAAGTTACTCTCTGGTCACTTGCAAGTGTCGTTATGCACCATTGTGCATGAGATCTCCGATATTTTTAGAACGACCATTTATTTATTTATTTATTTTTTTTTTCTGTCTTGCGTATCTATTTCGAGTTTATCGACACGCTTTACGAGAAATATTGAAATTATTGGAAAGGCGCACACTTCGAGAGAGTTCTCATTCTTGACCTTTGAGAATGAAGTATTTATAGTTGGAATAATCGTGATCGATGTGATTCGCGACGCGGTTGTTTTCATTATAATAGGCCTCGATTTGAATAACGTGAAATTTTTATTCGCGCCAGGATGAGATCGTAGGAAAATAACATTTGAACAGAGCGTGGCACAAGGACGTCTGCTCGTGCAAAAATATTGTTAAAATTGAATATTTTGCCGATTTGAAGAGTGAAAGGATTGCTACTTTCTCTTTCTCACTTGCAACCGAGGAAGAAAAGCGGAAGTAATAGATCAGATTAAGCTATCCGATATCAAAGTTCTCACGCAGTTCTTTATGCTTCACATTTTTTCGTGAGTTCCCTTACCATTGATGCGTGTATGATATTCATTCTTTGTCAATGTCATACCGCTGCTAACTGACGAGAAATTAGTGTCTTTTCTAACTGATTGTTCACTACCGGATTAATCAGCAGAAATGAAATTTTATTATTGTTTTTATTATTGGTTAACATTGAGATTACTATCGACTGTAATTACTCTTGTAATTTTCTCTTTCACAACTGATTTCTTTCAACAATTTTAGCAATTAGACACTGATTTGTGAAGTTGATATCCTAACGTTCAAAATCTTGTCTTTTAACTCGTTTTAATTAAAACAAATTTTACTAGATATTTTTTGACAACTTGAACGTTTTGTAAGAAATATTTAAAACACCAAAAGTCTTGTTCTTGACCTTTAGAACGAATCTTACATATCCATATTAATAAAGTTATACTTCTCGAGCAGGTTATAAAAAACTAAAGATGGGTAATCCACTTGTCGCAAGAGACGCTGCTTGAAGTGAAATCAAGCTTCCGCTCTATCGAGATTCATCCGGTGTTTGGTAGAAACCAGGGAAAAAGAATTCAGGTCGATCGCCGCTCGTAACGGGAAGTAATTAAAATAAAAAGAAAAACGTTCGCTTGGGTTCCGTAAACGGCAAGAAAACCTTTACGCTAGTCGCGTTACCGGTCCGAAAATGTGCTAGAATTAGACACGATATGGCAACAGTAACGAAGCAACATGGGACAACGTCACAGAACCTTTCGATTTCCTTTCCTTGAAAGCGTCACGGTGAATCAGGCACGTTGTTAAAAAAAGTTCAAGAACGCGGAGAATCATGTTACAGTTCCCTTATCGAGCGATAAGGGAATCTTTTTATTTGGAGACTTATCGATTATCGTACAGAATTTGAAGGAATATTTCTCAATTTTGCGTACGTGCAAGTTGACTGCAGATTTTTACACGCTGCACGAGAAAACATGCGAAATATTCAAAGAAGATTATAAGATCATAATAATACGCAGAAGGAACAATTTTCTATTTCGATTCCATTCCTCTTTGAATCGTGCTCGTGAAAATTTAAAAAATGCATGAAAATCCAAACACAGTGTACTCATCCGCTTGTTCTTGAAAACACGCATTTTCAATCAGAAAATTACTATCTGACAATGATTCGGGTAATGAAATGGATAGAATTTGGAAGATCAACTTTCTTCTAATCGAATCAATCAAAATCAGCTACAAGCTATTTAACCTCCGATAGTTCGGAATAAATAAACGCAGAAACTATTCAACCTCTTCTGCGCTGGTAACTGATTGCGGACCATAACGAGTGACCAAACCGTATACAATAATTCGTCGCTTTCTTTTTCAACTCGTCGGTATGATATCACCGGATAGAAATGATTGAGAAGTAATGAATTTATTGTTTTGCCTGGGTTATATATAGAATAAATATACTTAAAATTGAGAAAATATTACAGTTTTGGGACAAAAAATTCTCGACGTGCGTGGCACGTCATTCCAGCACAAGAGGTTAACTACTTGATTGCGGACTATAACGAGTGGCCAAACCGTATACAATAATTCGTCGCTTTCTTTTTCAACTCGTCGGTACGATATCACTGGATGGGAACTATTGAGAAATTATTGAATAAATTTATTATATGTTTTGTCTGGGTTATATCTCAATATACCTAAAACTGAGGAAATATTGCAATTTTGGGCCAAATATTCTCGACGTGCGTGGCAAAGAAGTTGCACGCGACAGGTGAACACACAGGTATCTATCGTTGATTTACGGCTCGTTGTAGCATTGTGTCACGGAGAAATGAAGATGGTGAATGCGACGGAGATGCGTCGAGTCGCGGAATTCAGTATGAGTTATCTAAACGTTAGATGTGAACTGGCTCTTGACAATTGGAAGATTCTCTCGGGGATT